ACTTGAAGAAAATCATTTTATAGGGAAAAAGCAGTAGTGAGAAGATCAAAAAGTAAAAAATGTGAAAAAAATTGAACCCAGCCTTGTGCAAAGTTTGGACGGATTCGGCCGTGGCCGATAAATAAAACACTTAAACTAAAGGCCTAATGAACAACAGAACTGCTGAACCGAATATACTTAATATATGTCAATAAATTATGATAAAGGTAAAAACCATGGACCATCAGGCCAATTAGCTGGGACCTATTTGAATAATTGACCGAATAAAGCTACCACTTCTTTGCTGCTCTACTAACAGGACTGTTGCAATTATGGAATCAGACAGGTTGAATGTGAAGTTTGCAACTTTCCAAAACTCCCCGACTATCATCCGAACTCCAACACATATTACTTCAAACAAAGTACATGTAGAACTTTAAAACACGATTTGAGAGCAGAGTGCCTGCATTATACACGAGCTGCAGTGTTTCGCAAACTTATCTGAACATTACGCTTTAGTACACTTGAACATAATGTCCCGTATACATGCAGGATGCATTTTAGGTATGACAGATGCCGTGTTTCTCATCGCCAAAACTTTGCCTCTTCTTTCACAATCGATTTTCCATTAAACTTCCACTTTGGTCCATAAAAGTGCACATCTACACTAGTAGATGATGTTTCGACCATGTCTATGGTTCCAAAATATCGTTAAGGCCATTTGAGAATACAAACTAATTTGAGGCAAGAAAACGAATAAAAGAGTGATTTATTTGATGCATTTATCAAAAATGCGTGTTGATTAGGGACTAGGACAAATAGTAAACTTGTTATCAGAGAGGTCAGAAAAAGAACAAATTAAACAACCTTTTGAGAATGAAGCAAAACTCTAAACTTGAAGTTTTCAGTATCACTAGCGCAATGGTGCTGTTTGGCGAACGGTGAGGATCGATAAATAAAACGGTCCAAGTCGAAAAGATCAAAGCAACATTTAAAAGGACATAAGAACAGCAGTCCAAACATAAAAAAAGATATTAATATCCGAGAAACTTCGACAAATGATTCAGTTGGTTGAGAAAGAATCTTCAGAAGAAATCAATGTGGACTTCAATCAGCAAACGTCCGTAGAATAAATCGTATATGTGAAGTTGTGGTTGTCCCGAAATGTACTTATATTTCGTTAGTTTTCCGACTATTTCAATACATTTTGCGCACTTTCCAGAAAATCCGCTGGTTGTCTTGGCTTTCTACTTCACTGTTTTCTTAAATTGTTTCATCCACGTTTTCTGACATTGCAATTGTATTGCTTGGAAAGTCTGCTGCTTTTGATGTTTTGAACCTTTGTGCCGCTGCTTCGACTTTCTTTCTCTTTATCTCTTTATCTCTTTGCTGTCATTTCCTCTCTCTTGTTCAATTTCTTCTGGTTTTCGTTTTTGGCATTATTATCATTGGCATTCAGTTCTCCTATAGAAGCTCTCTCGCATCTCTCTACAATTTCATATTTTTTTTTTACTAAGACTACTGTCCCTAGTTTTCGTATAGTGTCTGTTTCTTTACATGCTAGGGATTTTGGAACAGTACAGAAAACCTTCTGTTGTCTTTGTTATCTTCCTCAATTTTTTTATCAAAATCTGGGCCATATTTTTTGCTCTTCAGAATTTCGATGACGGTCTCCTGCTTTGTTTTCTAGGTTCTTCTTTCATCTGTTATTCTGTCATTATTTTCACACCCTTTTTATATTCTTACTCCCGCTTTGGGTCTCCACCTGATCAGATATTAATGCACATCTCCATTGCTGTATTTTAAAGCTCAGACTTTAAGTTCATTTTCACATTTCTTGTAACACGTCTTGTCTTCTTTCCAAATTTTTGCCAATGCCCTTTTCGCATCTCATAAATGCCATTTCGCGTCTTCATTTGTGTTATTTAACTTGTTCTCTTTCTTTCTCTTTGTACTTGCTTAAGATTTGTCTTTTAATTTTTGCTCTCAATAAAAAAAACTAATGTGAAAGCGATAGATAGATTCAGTTTGGTAAAGTAAGGGAAGGAAAACATAAACAAGCTGCGAGACAAAACGAAAAATAATAAAACGAAACAGCAACAACATGAAATCAAACAAAACAATCTCCACCTGCTTTTTTATGTTTATAACCCGCTGGCTGGACCAACTAACGACAAGATACGAAAATACTTATCATTCGGCTGCCAAAAAACGATACCTGCAGGAACCCGTCGTCCAATTACGCCGTGGATTAGTAAATTGGCAATTCATGTAAATTCCTTTAAGTAAATGATCATTTTTCGGCCGGTTATCAGGCTTTTTGTAATGCAAAATCATCATTATGTCGAGCAATTCAATTTCGAATTGCCCGAAAAAAGGTCTTGAAATGTTTTTGAACAACGTTTCAAATGGGTTTCAGGTGACTTTGGACTAACACATTGCAACTTTGGTTTAGTTTGACTATTAGGCTTTTCAAAAGGGTAACAAGTAGAAGCAAAGATAGTTGAGAAAAAAAAGAAAAGTGGTTGAATGATGGAAATCGAAAAAATCAACAAACCAGTGGAATCTTGAAAAAGATGAAGTCTATAACAACCCCCTAGTAATTCATTGGTTCAAGCTACAGCCTCATAAAAGCAATCAAAAAATATATAAGAAAAACAAAATCTATTTCCATAGAACTTGTCTTTCCATCTACGGCCTTTCTGGGTAAAAAGTCGATGTTTGGCCCCTAAGAAAGGTATCTGTTTGTGTATAAAGACCCCATATTGGGTCATAACGATTTCTACCTTCGAACATGGGAGAGCTTGATCCGGTCAATGTTTCTCCGTCTCTGCTTTTGGCCCACAGAGGCCCCTACTTTGTCTGCAATATTAAGCGGTTCTACAAAAAACCGTTTGAATAGTTGAACACAATCATCAGTTGATCTGTTTTATTTGATCAACTATTGTACTGTTCGTTTTTCTTTTGGCCACTAGTTATTAAGGAATTATTGAAAACAGAACCGAAAGATTTAGAAAAGTCTTGAGTCTTGCCATCATTAACACCTAGAAAAAATGAACCAAAACTGTACAAAAACAGTTAACATAATGATACTGCCAAAAGTATTCAAACAATTTCAGATGGATTTGAATCTAAAATCCCAAGCTAACTAGAAACTAACAAGTTTTAACAGTTTAAGTTGAAGGGATCTTTTCGGTACCATGCAGTCTGGTCAGTTTCAGCTTAAGAAAGAAACCAACAGGTACAATGTCGTAAAGCCCATCTTACACCTCAATAGGTGGTCAGGTGTAGAGATTTTGTAGTAAATTCGAAAACAATGGAATTATTTCAATGGAAATGCACCTGTAGAGTGCAGCTGGTCAAACTGTATTTAACCGTATCGGTTTTTGCGAAATTGTATGGTTCTATCCGGTTTTATTGAGGTGTCAGAATGGCAATTCTGAATTCTTCTATTAGGAACTAAAGGATGCTTTTGGGTAGTTGGTTTCAAGCGCTCCCATAGGGAAGTAGTGTTGGTTGGCTGATTTCTGCTGTGCTCTGGCAAAGTAAGTGATAAATTGTAGCAAAAACTAGTTTAAAAAGTGCGCAACTAAAGTCTCATCGGTCGAAAAAATCAGACAATTTTGCAATAAATGTCGCATAAACAAAATAATCAATCCGAATCGGTTAAATAATATATAAAGCAAGTCTGGCAAAACGTTTAACTGAATCTTTGTTGTTATTATCCGCTCAAAACGTGTTAGATGATTATTTTAATGCGTCATTTGTGCATTACTGGTAGGAAAGTTTTCGGAATTTTTCTCTTAAACAATTCCAAAGATTAGAAGTAGAATGAAAACAGCGATAGTTCATTTGCATCAATCTCAGTTCAATAAAATTTGATGCAGACGCATGTGAATTACAGACAGATAGCAAATAACGGGTGTTTACCTACGAATTTAACCGACTTTTTGGCCCAACGACCCAAAACCTGCCAACGATGTTTCTTCCTTTACTCATTTTATTTAGCAGCTTGCGATAGATTGATCCTCATTAGAAAACCGTTATTTAAAAAAAAATCTAATATTTTGCTTGTTCTGAAATCTTCAGCTACAGATTTTCAAAACCATGAAGAACCTGACCAAGTATTGATGACGTAAATTTCGTAATCATCTCTTAGTCGAACTGGTTATTGGAAAACGCTATCGTTATAGTTTTTATCATGAAAAAGCGCTAAATTTTGATTTATTGGATTCACCAGGTCTCGTAATAAATCCCAATCGCAGTTAATTGAAAAACCAGAAGCGGATTTCAATTGATCTCAATTCCCCGTTTAACACTACAAATCAAAGCGAAATTAACGAAACTGATAATGCGTGGATCTTCTTGATAGGGAGCAAGTAAAGTTCAAGCTGCCAAATGCTAGAACAAGGAACAGCAGGGCAAAAAGGAAAATCCTCCCAATAGTGCATCAAATACTAGAAGATTTAGAGCGAGTTCTGCTGGAAACCTAAACGAAAAAGTTAAAGTTGTTTCGGATCTGTATTATGCCAGATAACATGTCCGCAAGTCCCAATTAAGCAGCATTAAGATATTCCGATGCTAAAGGTCACAAGACGCAAACATCTGTTGAGTCGGCTTCTCTGTTCAATTACAGAATCAACTACACGAAAAACTTTTTATTTCATTTAATTACTCCTATATATCCAGCTGGTCCGAATCGAATCCAATCCGCGTCACAAATTTGAGATTTTACATTGAAATGTACCGGGTGATGGTCAGATTCCAATGCAAAATTGTTCCTTTAGATCCTAGTCAAATTTCGGATCAAAAACCCCTGCTAGATCGCCTTATGGATGACTAGCAGAGCCCAGCTAATCGCGAAACCTTCCACCAAATCAATAATCTTCAAATTGTTGCTTTAGCATGTCAAAAGGTCGTTCCTTTTTCCATTCTATCATAACTCATGTAAGTGATTCCGATTAAATATTATACTCCAGTGAAATAAACAAACAATTAATCAATCTATTGTTTTTCTGCATCATGGATAGAACAAACCGCCCGACCCTAATTATAGCCGCATTTCTAACGACTTGGTAGACTTTAGGTTGAAGAATCCGGACTTTTTCCGAATAAACCCCATTTGAAATGATCTAATTATATAATAGCTGGATGCACGTTTCAGAACTATTGGCTGGTCCCTGGTATGGTAACTATTATCGCAAGCAACTAATTAGTTCACATCAAAGACGAGATACAGCAACAGATTAAACAGCGCGACCATGTTCAGTCGGGTAGCATTTCTTTTGTGCCTCTACCACATCGCGGTCCAGAGTCATGTGTTGAACAAAACCGTCTACAATCAGCGAGTAGCATCCAACTCTACAAACACCCCTTTAGTGCAAACAGAGACAACAGCAGATAAACAGTTTGATTTTAAGAATAGAACAGAAGTGCCAAGTGAACGCGTTGCGAATTCAAATGAAAGTGATGGTTCTGCATCTGCAGGATCTTCAGGTTCTGCACGGCTCGATGTGAACGAAACAAGAACCGGCAAGAGTCACAATCGGCAATTTTCTGTTTCCGAGTTACTGACAACGACATTTCCCAAAAAAACTTCGAATGATACCGGATTGAACCCCTGCAAAGCTGGTAAGTGCCTCAAAAACATGAGGATGATTTGAGCCCATTACAAGACAAAACTTGCAAGCTTGCTGAATGAATTTTCCAAACTTGGTACAACGTTAAATCAATTGCGTTTTAAATTCGCATTTTTGATAACAGCAACAGTATCAACATTTTAATTAAATTCCAGTTAAATCTGGTCCTAATTACCTCTAGATTTGGTGTCATCGAGACGAAATTTCCATAAATTCTAGGGATTGTTTGTATCAATAACCGCAGATCAACTCAAATCAACAAATCGCCTTAAAGTTACAAATAAATGCCTTGCAAGCTGTAGCTTTAGCTTATTAATGATTGGGTAAACTTGATTTAGATGTGTTTCTCGACGACATAGCCATCACCTTTGAATTGTCGAGGAAGAGGAATAATCCAGTGGATGACGAAGAAAAGCACAAACTCATTTCGGACAGCGCCAAGAAAATCTTGGAGAAGAAAAAAATCTGGTAAGAACAGAACGAGCTCGCGTATTGTTTTCATTGGATTTGCCTTATTTCTGTAAAGGTCCTTTAGAGTTTCCATTGAGGAATTCTGCAAAATTCAAATGGATTTTCAAAACGGAAAATTCTCCCAAAGTTTTCTCACAGCAAATGTGAACTGGAATAGTTGATCGTTTTCAGAATATTAAATAAACCTCATCAAAATTTAGAAAACCCTTTTACATCTTGAAGTTTCCTAACAAGTGTTTAATGCAGACACTCTTAGTCTACAGTGTTAGAATTCAAACGACTCTGAAGAGGAGCGTAACTTTAAACCCTCGAAGAAACACCCTTTCCATTGATTATTTTTAGGAATATTGCTCCATTTGAATGTGGACTTCTTCATCTGCCTGAGTTTTCCTTTCTTCCATAGTGCTCTTCGGGATAATCCCTGTTTTCTGAAGCGCAGATTCGCTGGCAATTCAAAGCTGCTCAGTCCATCCAACTATCAGCTATGCCCAAAAGAACGTCTTTGAATTGACTTTCCAAGTTTCCCTAACGGGATGATTCCAGCTGTTGGGGAGCCAACTTGTTCTTTTAGTCCACTACTTATATGTGTTATTTCCTGTTTGCTAACTTGCTCTGGAAGCTTCAAATGCTAGCTTCTTTCATCTACAGACGAGTTCTTTTCGTGCCTTCATAGATGCAAGGTTCTTGCAGTCGAAGGGACGCAATGGGAATCGAACAGTTGCATCCTTCAAGTTTTCACTTTTCCCAAAACTACAACAACCTCACAGTTTGTAGCAATATTGCCCTCAAAGGTCACCGATATCACCGAATCTTACGGATTTTTCCCAAATGCTAGCCGGTCATTCATTTTTAAACTGCTGATACTCACAAAATGTATACTGGCTTCCAAGTGATTGTTAACTAACCGAAGCGAGCTTGTAGGAAAACCGACGCTTTATCCAGTTCCCATCGGATCCAGAAACGGGCAGCCGCCACAACGGTGAAAGAAAGACTATGGGATTATGGGATAATACCATATGAAATCGATGAGGAATGGAGTGCGTTTCGAAAAGCCTTGGCCCGGCAGGCAATGAGGCATTGGGAGAACTATACTTGCCTGAAGTTCATTGAAAGGAACAAAACTGAAAATGTGGACTTTGTGTTTTTCACCGAGAAACCTTGCGGGTAAGGAAACTGCCCCCAGCTAAGGCTTGAGGATTTAAGCTTGCCAATTGCAGATGTTGCTCGTTTGTGGGCAAAAGAGGAATCGGCGCTCAAGCATTAAGCATAAGCGAAAATTGCGCAAAGTTTGGTATTGTTGTCCACGAAATAGGCCACGCAATCGGGTACTACCACGAGCACACCCGACCCGATCGAGATAACTATGTCCAAGTGTTCGAGGAGAACATAATGAAAGGTCAGTGCAATTATCAATAATGTTAAGTCAGCAGGGAGAACATAAAAGCTTGCAGTTCCTTGATGTTGTGACAACTAACAACAACAAGCGGCTTTCTACGAGGGTGCCAACGAAAAATCTGGTTGTTTCAGGTCAGCAGACCAACTTCAACAAACTGCCCACTGACCAAGTGACTTCGCTGGGCCAGAAATACGACTACAATTCCATCATGCACTATGCGAGAAACACGTATTCGATAAACGGCTTTTCGGACACCATCCAGCCGATTGGAATCCCGCTAGGCATGAAAGCTCCGGAAATCGGCCAGAGGGTGGGCCTGAGCGCTGGGGATATCGAGCAAACCTTAATTCTCTACAACTGCCCAAGTAAGCAAAAGCATTTACAACCAAATGGTAAAACCCCAAATCTGAAAAAATTGCAGAATGCGGCAGCACGTTCCAGACATTATCCGGCTCGTTCTCTCCGCCCAAAATGAACGTGAACGCCCCACGAGAATCGCTGGCGTGTGAGTGGAGAATCACTGCCACTCCTGGGGAGAAAATCATCCTCAACTTAACATCGATGGACGTTTTCAAGTCCCCAAATTGCTCCACGGACTTTGTGGAAGTTCGCGATGGCCATTGGAAGAAATCAAAGCTTCTTGGTAAGCAAGCCTCTTTAAAACAAGACTAGAAACTACTTCGATGGTCCCCAGGAAGATTTTGTGGGCGGGGCGACGTCCCGAACATCAGATCGGACACCAATCGGATGCTGATCGTTTACCAGGCCGCCACTATCAATGAGCACACGGGATTTTTGGGCAACTTCGAAGTCGTTTGTGGAGGCACGATGCATGTCACCTCCATTGGGTAAACATCTAACAGCTTTGGCCATTCTGTCTCGAATATGCCACTGATTGCAGATATCTAGCTTCTCCAAACTACCCGGATGACTATAGCCCTAACAAGGAATGCATCTGGAAGATTACTGTTCCCGATCAATACCAAGTGGCGTTAAAGTTCCTCAGCTTCGACTTGGAGCATCATGTGGAATGCCGCTACGATTTCATCTCAATCCACAGCGGATTGGATAAGAATGCTTCCCATGTGGCCACTCTTTGCGGCCAAACTGTTCCCGAAAACATCGTCTCATCGTCCAATCAGATGATTATGAAATTCGTCTCCGACAAGTAAGTTGGCTCGATAATCTCCCGCACTGTCTCCAGCCTGGAGCTTCCAGGTCAAAGCAAAGAGGAGGATTTTCGGCGAAAATTTTCGCTGAATACAACGAGTGCGATCGGAAGGACCATGGATGCGAGCAAACATGCATCAACACCTTGGGCAGCTACATGTGCGCTTGCAGAAAAGGCCTGGAGCTACACTCAGATAAAAGAAGCTGTGTTGGTAAGTGTCTAAGAGCGGGTCTTAATCTCCTTCTCGAGTCCCTCAAGGCCCTATTCTAGATGCATGTGGCGGCACCTTCAAGGCGCCAAAGGGAACCATCGCCTCTCCATCCTTCCCCGAACTGTATCCCGGAAGCAAACAGTGCACTTGGATCATAGAGGCGCCTTTACAGCATATCGTCGTCTTGAACTTCACTCATTTGGACGTAGAAGGGAACAACTATGACGATCAGGTTAGCTATCGAAGCAACTGGGTTTGGAGATGGTGGATGCACATTTGCGTTTTAGTTGTGCGAATACGACCAGGTCAATGTGTCCAGCCTGCTGAGCAATGGCAAATACAAGCAGCATGGCTCGTTTTGCGGCACCAAAAGACCCAGCATGATTTTTTCCGAGAGCAATGTTCTGGAGATTAGCTTCGGATCGGATGACAGTGTCCAACAAACTGGATTTGCAGCTGTTTATTATATTGGTGAGCTCATTTTTCATTCATACTTCTGCTGAAAACAGATACTCTGGAGGAGAGAATCGTCCGGTAGCTCAATGAGCTTCCTCTGAGGATTACAGCACTCTTCATTTATTTCTTCATTCGATCTTATTTCTATCACTCCCTCTTCTTGCAGATCCAGATGAATGTTCTACTAGAAACGGTGAATGTGAACACGACTGCGTGAATACACTAGGGAGCTTCCAATGCATCTGTCGCACTGGTTTCACGCTACACGAAAACAAAAAGGACTGCATTGAAGGTGATTGTGTCCATGAGATCTTCACTGTATCCACGCCGCCTATGTATGGGATAATCAGCAGTCCCAACTACCCAAAGTATTATCCGGCATCCAAAGATTGCGCCTGGCACATCAGGACTTTGCCAGGCCATCGCATTCGGCTCATTTTCATGAACTTCAACTTGGAATCTCATCCTGAGTGCTACTTCGACAACGTCCAGGTATGAATGAGCAAGTTTAGTTTACTGGTCAAATAACACCCAACTAAATTGCAATCTCACCCACATAGCAAAATGATATTCCCAGAATATACCCGGAACATTCATGTGATGTACATGTTACATGAGTTACATTATGAACATTCCATGTATGTCCCAGGAATCTGTCAGAGTTAATACACTGAATGTTCATGGTATGTTCTGGGAATGTACATG